GTTAGAAATAATTCGCAATTCATGAAAATATCAGAGATATGCGAGACCCGGGATTTGAACCCGCTTCACTCAGGTTCCAAACAGAGTGCGTTACCACTGGGTTACCACTATCTTCTATACATATAATAAAATTCTAACTGTGGCGAATCTGTGCATTATTTTTTTTTTTGGAAAATCTTATTGAAATAGATATGCTCGTAATTATCGGCACAGAGTCCGAATTCATAGTTTTTAGAATTTTTGTCTGTCTGTCTGTCTATTACCGCATCACGGAAAAACTACTGGAGTGATTTTGATGAAATTTGGTATGATGATAGCTGATTATCCGGGTCAACATTTAGGATACTTTTTACTGCGGGAAAATATCTCATCTCTGAGAAATCTATAGTAAACGTAAAAACGTATGTAGGGACAAACCCGAGCGGAACGAGAAGGAGTCGCTAGTAAGTTATAAAAACTCTATGTTTATTGTTTACTTACCTATATAAAGGAACTTTATAAGCCGTATTAGGTAGTACCTATAGTTGCGTGTGGGAGGTTAACTTGAATAATATTATTGACATGCAAGAATGAAAATTATAAATTTTATGCAAAAAAAATTACAAAAAGAAAATGTTTCGACTGGACTCAGTGCCGGATTAAGCAAGCGCGGGGCCCGTAGCAAATTCTTTTGAAGAGCCCTTGATCTGCTATGGGTTTTTAAGTATAAAGTGGTTAAAAAAACAATTCAATACTTAATAAGACCTCAATACGTTTATTTGCCATCTATAGGTTACAATTTTGTGAGTGATTAATAGTACAGTAGATTCCTATAGGCTCTGTTAGGCTCTGACGAGTACAAAAAGCCAGAGATGAGAATTCCTGGCAATTTAGGATGATTTTGATAAGAAACTAACAATTGAAAAGTGACGATACTGCATATTTTTTATAGATATTTCTAAATTCTAATACCTTTAAACGACCAATTTTCGTTTATTTATACCGGCGATCTCGGAAACGGCTCTAATGATTTTGCTGAAATTTGGCATGTGGGGGTTTTTTTCTATCAGTAAGATTAACTGTCAGTTTTATGAACGGCTAGTAAGTTTAACTGTCAGTTAATTAAACTGCCAGCAAGTTTAACTGTCAGTTAGAATGACTTTCAGTTAGTTTAACTGTCAGTTTGTTTAACCGTCAGTTTGTTTTACTGTCAGTTTGTTTATCTATCAGTAAGGATTACTGTCAGTTTTATGAACGGCTAGTAAGTTTAACTGTCAGTTTGTTTAACCGTCAGTTTGTTTTACTGTCAGTTTGTTTATCTATCAGTAAGGATTACTGTCAGTTTTATGAACGGCTAGTAAGTTTAACTGTCAATTTCTATATCTGTCAGTAAGGGTAACTCCTAGTAAGATTAACTGTCAGTTTTATGAACGGCTAGTAAGTTTAACTGTCAGTTTGTTTAACTATCAGTAAGATGTAACTGTCAGTAAGATTAACTGTCAGTTTTATGAACAGCTAGTAAGTTTAAATGTCAGTTAGCACGACTGTCAGTTTAACTGTCAGTTTGTTTAACTGTTAGTAAGGGTAACTGTCAGTAAGGGTAACTGTCTGTAAGATTAACTGTCAGTAAGATTAACTTTCAGTTTTATGAACGGCTAATAAGTTTAACTGTCAGTTTGTTTAACTGTCAGTTTGTTTAACTATCAGTAAGATGTAACTGTCAGTAAGATTAACTGTCAGTTTTATGAACAGCTAGTAAGTTTAACTGTCAGTTAGCACGACTGTCAGTTTAACTGTCAGTTTGTTTAACTGTTAGTAAGGGTAACTGTCAGTAAGGATAACTGTCTTTAAGATTAACTGTCAGTAAGATTAACTTTCAGTTTTATGAACGGCTAGTAAGTTTAACTGTCAATTTCTTTATCTGTCAGTAAGGGTAACTCCTAGTAAGATTAACTGTCAGTTTTATGAACGGCTAGTAAGTTTAACTATCAGTTAGTTTAACTGTCAGTTCGTTTAACTATCAGTAAGATTAACTGTCAGTTTCATGAACGGCTAGTAAGTTTGACTGTCAGTTAATTTAACTGCCAGTAAGTTAAACTGTCAGTTAGTATGACTGTCAGTTTAACTGTCAGTGTGTTGAACAATCAGTAAGTTTAACTGTCAGTAAGGGTAACTGTCTATAAGATTAACTGTCAGTTTTATGAACGGCTAGTATTTCTTTATACCTTTTTAACCGATTTCCAAAAAGGAGGAGGTTCTCAATTCGTCGGAATCTTTTTTTTTTTATGTATGTTAGTCTGGACTGTATAGTACAGAATATAATATACTGGAAACTTATCCTCACTTCGCTCAGGTGCGTCCATAGGTACATATTAAATAAATAAAAATAGTCATTGCGAGTGTGGCTTAGGAGATAGATATACATATGCTATTGCAGGCTTTTCTATAGTTTTTTTTTTTAAACCTATACTTTTCTAGTACATTGTTTTGGTGTACCTATATATCTCCTAAAGGCCAGAGTTAAAATGTCATCTAAACTCAATTGTCGAAATAGGATTTTTTTATCAGATGTATGACAATATATGCCTATTAACAAAATACATATAAATAATAAGTTATTATAATAAACATTTCTAACTAATTGCCATATTATAATATAACAATATGCTAGAAACGCTCCCAACGTGACACATATCTACCTACTCATAATTAAATTTCCGTGTCAACAAGTAATGAATACACTAAACGTAAACAATATTATAATTTAAAATTTGTGACTGTTATGCATGAAGTAAAAATAATTTCATAGTTCATACAAACTATTATAGAGGTGTGCTTTTCAGATAAAAATATATTTTTATGATCATATTTCTATTATTTTATTTTATACGTACATAATTATGTCAGGAATAAAAAGTTGAAAAAAATAAAAAAAAAGCCGATTGCGTACAACGCGAAATAAAATGATGAAAACTTGATACATACATATGTAGGTACATACTACATGTTTTATAATAGTTGCGTGCTATTTTAATTTTCAACTGACTTCCAAAAAGGAGGAGGTTCTCAATTCGTCGGAATCTTTTTTTTCTTTTTTTGTGTACATATGTTCACCGATTACTTAAAGATGCCTGAACCGATTTGAAAATTTATTTTTTTATTTCGAAGAGTATACTTCCCACGTGGTACCATTTGAATTTTATCGAAATCGATCAAGCGGTTTTAAAAAAATCAACAATAAATTATTTTTAAATAAATGGCTTAATCGAATATGTTACTAAGAAACGTTCTTCTAACAACACATCTCTAGTTACAGGCCAGTCCATCAAGCCGTTTAGGCTACAGATCGTGCCAAAGAAATATAGGTACATGTACATACTTACATACATTCGAAAAACATAACCCTGCTTCTGGCGCATTCGGATAAAAACTTGAAGGTGAGGAAGTTATGATTAAATAATATGTAGGTACTCTCTAATATTTGATGAAAAATTGATTAATTCCTAACTATATCAAAATATTATCGTGATTTCAATAAATATGGTCTAATTCTAAACCATTCAACTCGAATTTCTAGAAAGTCTAGTGAATAGTCATTTCACCCTTCATGCGTATGAAAACACCCGCATTTTCCATTCTATCTAATGATAATAATTGAACGTAAAACAAACGGTATTTTTAATTTATGTTATCACAGACATGTACACATTTTTGCGTACCTTATAAGATGATGCTAAAATATTTATGTTTAAAATAAACCTTTTTGCTATAGATAATTCATAAGATTGTATTCGAAGACATTGTAAAAAAAATCAATCTGTAAATGTAGCATAAAACATGCATAGAAAATGTTGTCATCGTAAAATTTGTGTGACGTAATTTATGGATGTTCCCTCAATAAAGTGTCTAAGCTATATCATTCCGAATTTCACTCAAATCGATTGGCGCCAAGGCCGGTGAGCGCGGAAAAGCAATAAATTATTCATATACGCGGAAAAGTAACAAGTACAGACTTTCGCATAAATTACAAGCTTTTATTTAGTTCCACCTGTCCGGGCTTCGTTCAGCAACACTAGAAAGTGTTGATCGAAGTGTCCGGGTCTGTGTAATGGTATCTTGCAAGTTAAATTTGACCCACTTCCCAGTGTCCCATCGAGCTGAAATTTGGCACAATAGTTTGGTCGCCGACTCAATGCACGATTACCTAAATGTCACAATTTTTAATCTAATATGGCGGTTGCCGCAAAATACCAATTTATCATTTCCACATTAATCCCAATGTTATGATTGGTGACTCTATGGCTCTAAAAAGAAGAAAAAAAAAACACAACAAACAAAACAAGATATAAAAGCTTGATAGATTGAGCGAGATTTACCTGTGTAGATAAACAAGAATATATTTAATATTTAAAATAGGTAAATCTCTGCTCTCTTTAAACAAATGATGCTCTATTTAAATAAAAGCTTGTTTTTAAAATTGTTTTTTTTACTATTAATTATTTATATCAGTTATGTGTATATGTATTGTAAATTATATGTAAATATTAAGTAAGTACTTAGTATGGGGGATAGAGGTAAAGAGAACCGTCTTATATGGAGGGGAGGTGGGGAGGTTGAAGAAGTGTCCAGCTGTATGCTCAAGATAGAGGTTCTTACTTCTAGACTCTAGTACGTATCAGAATGGCGCTGGCGTGAGAAAAACTACGGTACGAATTTAGCTGTTGTAGACGGCGTGAAGTGTGTTGAATTCATGACTAAAGTACTTAGTTAATGAAATACCAATATACGGAACCTCAACTATTTACGCAGTCTAAATAATTTAGTAAATATAACCATCCTTGCTAAATTCTCTATCTTATAGAAATGCTACATCTTACTTTAATTAAGTTTGGCGATTCCTTTAAAATTTATCCTACGCTACAGCAGCGCCATCTTTATTGGACGCGTTTTGACGGATAGTTTTTCATACATAGAGACGGCTTCTTACCTCTACCCTCCATAGTACTTAGGTAATTACTTACATCCAACATCCATTATGTTCAAGTTGTTATCCTTCTTGTCACCTTTGTTGACGTTAGGCGTGTCGCCGTAATTAAAGCAAGCTGAAACAAAACCATACATATGAATTATAATTAAAAAAAAAACACCTGTAAACCTTAAAAAATTTTTAAGACAAACAGTCAGAAATAAAGAGGCAAAATGAAATAAGACACACTATACCATAAAAAATGTCTTCTTAATATATACATAGTTTAATGTATGAAAACTGTGATTACATAAAATAAACGAACTCTTTATTTCATTTATATAATTGACCAGTTACGAAATCTCGTGAAAATGGTAGGTAGGTAATTTATTTGTTTGCTCGCTGACCCAATTCATGATACGTCAAAGGAAATTAATCCAATTAGCCGAAACGAAACTATTTCTTTAAAACTCCTGGGAATCTTAATAAGCACAATGATATTTAATTGAATGAATTAATAGATTATGTTAACTAATTAAAAAAATTAAAACTTTTCACGTAAATCTATACATAAGTATAATAAAATTGTAACTAAGCCGAATCTGTACATTAATCAATATTTTTTGGGAAATCTTATTGAAATAAACATTATTATCGATACAGAAGTCGAATCTATAGTTTTTAGAATTTTTGTCTGTTTGTCTGTTTATCTGTTACCGCATCACGGAAAAACCACTCGAGGGTTTTTGATGAAATTTGATATGGTGATAGCTGGTTATCCGGGTCAACATATAGAATACTTTAAAAAATCATTTTTCTCAGAATTATACATGACCGCGGTTTACCGCGGGAAAATGTATCATTTCTGAGAAAAATACAAAAACTGCAATGTAAGAGTATAGTAATATGTAAAACATAAGAATTTGATTTTTGGTTACCTGAACGCGGTCGGAGCCGCGGGCAATGCTAGTATAGTCTACTCATACAGCCCTTCTCAAAAAACGGGCTATCTAATCCAAAAAGAATGAATCTAAAGCAAATCGGATTAGTAGTTCCTCAGTTCCTGGGATAAGCGCGTTCAAACAAACAAACAAACAAACAAACAAACAAACAAACAAACAAACAAACAAACAAACAAACAAACAAACAAACAAACAAACAAACAAACAAACAAACTCTGCCTCTTTATAATATTAGTATAGATATTACATATTATATTCCAAACAAAATATAATCGAATAGAGCTTCACTATAAAAAAAACTAATTATATCACAAGCACAACTAGTGCTATTTAAATTCAAGGTTTAAACTTTTAGCATCCATTTTGTTAAGCCCTTATCTCGTAAATTGTTAGTCACTTTAAAATTTATTCATATTGATTTCAACAGCGGTGGCAGACTACCTAATAAACGTAAGAAATCAATATCCCACCTGACCTTTATTACATTTTCATGACAGTAATGTAGTAAATTATTATATGGAATGCTACTTTTCATCAGTATAATTACTTACCTATAAAGTATTGATCGTATTTATTCAAAGTATTTAATGAAAAACATGGCCAAGTGCGAGTTGACCTCGTATTTATTTTACTTTTTTTACCGTTTCATAGTTTTTTTAGTTTTTTTAGTTCAATTTTTTTTAGTTATTTCTCAAACACCAGTTATAACTTTACATTTTAAGCGGCTTACCCTCGCTTCTCACGGGTTCGCCTCTAGAAAAACAAAAACAAATCTATCCCACGGGAACCGTACATTTTTGTGGGATAAAAAGTAACCTATTTGTTATTTTGATGTATGAGCTACATTATTGTAAGCTTTCATTAAAATCCATTCAGTAGTTTTTGCGTGATATAGTAACAAACATCCATGCATCTATACATACAGACATTCATACGTTCTCACAAACTTTTGCATTTATAGTAGTAGTAGGATTCTTTTCAGATTTTTGTATAAAAATAATTCTTAATTATTATATATTTTTTCTTATAAAATTTAGAGTTAGATTAAGGAAAGGACAACCAAGGTAGCAGTCTCGGGACATGGAGCGGCCCACATGAGCGTCCACTGTTGAATTTTCTAGGTGCTCTAAATTAGTTTCTTTATGTGATATTATTCATAATTCTTTTCTTTTTTCTTTTCTATTTGTCATTCGATGAAAAGAGCAAATTTAAAAGAAAAGGCAACCCAAAAGGACTTTTTTATCATGCATTATGATTAAGGGTCCCGAAGCTCTTGCACATTTTAAATAATATAATACTAGTGCAAAATTCATGACCTTTAAATATATAATTTTTATCTGACGATGTTTTCAAAGTAGAGGTTAGCTAGTTAAATCGTAGGTTGAGTTTACCAACCTAAATAACAAGAAGATTTTCATCTCGATATAGTCAATGGAAACATTCTAACATTAAGTAAATAAAAGACCTATTGTTTCAATTGAAGATTGGAGCCAACAGTCACGGTCTACATGAGTCAAGCCCAGCCCACGCCTACAAACCATATGGCTAATATGTGTTTTCGTGTTTGACGATGGAATTAAACCTTACATCATGATATACAAAAACAGTTTAGTGCATATAGCGTTTATCTAATATATAAAATTTTCGTGTCACAGTGTTTGTAACATAACTCCTCCGAAACGCCTTGAACGATTCTTATGAAATTGTGTGTTTGGGGAATAGAACGTAAACTATTTTTCATATCCCATAAGTGACCACCCTAGGGACGAACCCGAGCGGAGCGAGGGTGAGTCGCTATTTATTTTTTAATTTCTTTTCAACTGAAATATAGAAAATTAAACTGGTGTGTGAAATACTGCACCCCTCTCGCTGTCCAGTCTATTTATTAGAACTATCACTCACAACAGGCGAAAGACATTATATCCTAAAAAAAATAATTATAAAAATGTTTTAAATGAGCGCATAAATAAAATAAAGAAATATACTTGTAAAAAAACCAATACAATAATTATAAAAATATTTTTATAATTATTTTTTCATCATGGACTCACCAAATATGAAGTTAGAATAACGTTAGCGCGAAGGACAGTAGCCGGCTACCAGTGTCCACTCCTGAGTCATTAATGATGGTTCAGAATCGTCACACATCACACATGGGACATCGATCGCCTCATTTAAATTATATATATAACTTTTACTGCTATTGTCTCGTAAATTATAGCAATTTAAGTACTTATTTTCTATTGTTTTTGATCGAGCGTGAGATAGGCTGGCAATACTGAATTATTAGAAAAATTGTTACCTATTATGTAAATGAGACTATATAAGGATATTTGATTGTACCTTTTTAAAAAAATGTTATTCATAATATAAAGCCTTATTTTAAATGATGTTTGTTGTCTTAGATAAAAATTAATCTGCAATCTGACATTGGCTCGATTTCATTAATGGTAGGCGTCATGACTCACAGAGGCGGAGATAAACTAACCTCGCTCTAGAGAGCTTGTACATTAGTAACGAGTGAGATTACCGTAATTTAAATCTACAAAACTGTCCTCGCCACATGATAAACCAAATTTAAAAATCAAAATTTTAAAAAGATTTGCATAATTAAAAAGTTTATGTCATACGTACATAAATTCTAAAAACTTCATAAAATATCTTATCGAAGTAATTCATCATCGCTTATTTATATACTTACTAGACTTCCAGAGTAATTAAGTAAATAACAAACGTAGTTTGAATGTCTTGAATGGAAACGTTAGTAATAACATTATAAATTAATAATTTATTTACATTGGAGAAATCAAACGAAATATAAACTCTACTTACTGTTTTGCAAGCTAAATCTCTCCGTAAAGGAAATAGACAAACACACTTACCTTCAATACAATAATATAAGGATTCAATCATAAAGGTTATATATGGCATAGAGATAGTTACATAAAATATATAATTATACCATATCCATTATCTTTATGAAAACTATGGGCCTTAATGTTATATTGATTTTGTTTTACTATAGTGAGTCACGAGACGGATACCTTACCAAACAATGTACATAGTATTATGTATGGCAAGATATATTCATATCTACGCTAATGTTAAAAAAATAGCTGGTACCAAAGTAAATATGAAATAATAAAAAATATATTATATAAGACATAGCCAATATTGCTTTTAAAATGCTAGTAAGAATATTAAATAAACTGTGAATATGTTGTGAAAGGCTAACATTTTTAAACGTACCGGCCATTGAGGCGCTGCTCATCCTACCGCGTGTAAAATCAATCTTGAAAATATATTTTATAATACGCAAAACAATTACAACTATTACTTTTATTTCGAGTTATGAATAATTGTTAAACAGATGACAATTTTATTATATTTTTTTATTTACATTATTTTTTGCCTTACTTGTTTGATGTGAATTATTAAACTTATATAACTGCTAAAAATGTCTTAATAAGTAAATAAAATTATTATATACTACTTTCATAAATATATAAAAATTAAAGTTATATGTTAATATAACATAAGCAATAAGATTTAAAACTCCAGTTTCCGTACGTAATTGTAGTTGTTTGACATCTGTCAAAGTCAAACAGCAAAATATTCCTCATATTTCGTGTCTACCTCTACTGTTCCCAGTATATATCTATACTCTTTGCTCTACTGTTTTCAAAACAACTCAAGTAAAAGTAAAACTTAGCCCTTAGGCATTAAACGCAAAGAAGGTGGAGGTATAACAATGGAATTCATTACTTTAATCCAGTCTCTTAGTGGTGTACTTTTAAATATCAATGGCAATCACTTTGACTCCTTCATTTAACATATAATTGGTGAAATAATATGTGATCAACTAGAACCATTACAAACCTTTAAATAGATAATTGAATCAAATATTTATATTAATAAAATTTAAGGATTATCTTTATTATTTCTAGGAACAATGGCACCAGGCAAGAAAGTAGCTGTCCGTGGAAAGCGCTCAAATCACCATGTTCAAAGAAATTATGCAGAAAGTTTTAATGATTTAAGTTTAGAATCTTCAGAAGAAAGTGACGATAACTCAGATGATTCTGAAAATGAAGGAGTAGAAGCTTCATTTGCTGTAAGCATGTGGGATTTAAATCATTGTGACCCAAAAAAATGTTCAGGGAGAAAACTCCTAAGACATAACCTCATAAAAAATTTAAAACTTGGACAAAAATTTCCAGGACTTGTGCTGTCGCCTGTAGGGACACAATGTGTCAGTCCTAATGACAAAGATATCATAGAGAAGTTTGGATTAGCAGTAATAGATTGTTCATGGGCAAAAATTGATGAGACTCCATTTGGTAGAATGAAATCACCACATCCAAGACTTTTACCATTTCTTGTAGCAGCTAATCCTATTAACTATGGGAAACCGTATCAACTTAGCTGTGTTGAAGCACTAGCAGCAGCAATGTTTATTACGGGTCATAAGAAAGAAGCAACTTTTTATTTATCAAAATTTTCATGGGGACATTCTTTTTTAGAATTGAATTCCGAGGCATTAGACATGTATGCCAACTGTACAGATAGTAAAAGTGTGATTGAAACACAGAAAAAATACTTAGAAAATGCTGGAAATGAAACAGATACAAGAAAAATGTGGCCATCGAGTGATTCTGATACTGAAAGCGAAGAAAATGACTAGATATGCTATAATGTAATTTATTTTTTATGTCATGTTTTATTGATGAATATATATTTAAAAAATGGATAATTTTATATTAAAATTATTGTTATATATTATGTATAGTTCTATATTTGCAAAATTACTAGCAACTTACCATTGCTTGGATCGACTACACTCTGATATATTCTTACATATCAGTTCTTTGCTTTAATGGCTTTATATCTGTGTGATTGATTTCATACAAATCTGTCCAGCCTTACAGTATGAAGTATTAGCAAACATACTCACAAACTTTCAAAGTTATAATAGTAGTCCCAACTTGAATGTCTTGTATATAATAGTAGTCCCAACTTGTCCCAACAAAACTTTTAGATTATACAAATCTTCGATCAACAGTAGTCTTGTTGATCAAAGATATAAATCATGGGTTAAAAACTATCAAAGTTACTGAAATTTGTTTAATTCAGAATAAATTTTGCAATATCTATCATATTTTGATTTACAAATATAAAATAAAGGTTCGACCTTTTGCACATTAACGACATCTATAATCAAATAAGCAAACAAAAATAGTCCGAATAATGATTATGTCCAATTTCTCTGTAGGGAAAGGAGACTGGGACATCTGTACCAGTACAGTATTATGTCATCTGTGATATAAAGTAAAAAAATAACAATTCACAGGAAGTATATTAATGAGTTTAAGGTCATTTATTGTAGATCGAAATAAATAAGAATATTTCAAATTATTGTATAAATTAATAACAGATATTTTATAGGCCGTATATTACTGATGATTAAAGTAATCTAAACTTAAAATATTTCTCTATATTAGTGAAAAATAAAAGTAACGCCATCTACTGGCACATGGATAATTTAAATAGCTTATTCAATCCTACAAGACGTGTTGTAGCATTTAAACATTACTGTTTAGTTCTCTTGTGTCAACCTAGATGGCGCTACTATATTCTTGTTTTGAAATTAAATGGCTTTACGGATGCAACGTGCTTGCGTCCGTTATTTTAGTTTCCTATGAATATCGGAGTGTGGGAGTCGTTGTGTGACGCGGGGAGTTTTCTTTTAAACTCGCGATATAACTAATTTATGACTTACTTGTAAAGTGCAGTTAAAGTGAAATAATTGTGTTGTGTTTTTTGTGTGTGTATTCTGACAGAAAATTGTACGGATAGAACTTTTTTAACTTATAAGGTAAGTAAGTTTCGAGACTTAACTTTTGTGCAACCTGTCACGCAGGTGTCTCACAAGTCACTAACCTCCGTGATGAATAAATATCTACTATATCTTTCCAGATAGATGAGATATAAAGAGATAATATTATTTAATATTTAAATATATTACAATATTCAAAATATTATGTTTGTTACTATTTTATTAACATGTTTATTTATTTATCGTATAATAAGTTTCATTAAAGAACACTTTCGAGCTGGCAGCTAGCAGTGTCATTTTTTAAAAGTTTAAGCATGATTTTTACTTTTCAAATGCTTAGAATTTAGCGCGTATCGCATTATCTTTTGTGATTTTTTTTGTAATTTGATCGTTTATTGACGATCCATAAAATGTTGGAAAGCTGACAATTATGTAATATTTTTTGTCCAAAAGTAATATGTCGGATTGTTTTGTACTTGTGTTATTTGGTAAGAATTTAGTTTTATTTTTTATATTTTGATTCTGAATTTTTTTCACGCAAAGAATACCTAATAATTTGAACATGATTAATGGGTATGCAATGGATGATTTTTTTTCGTATTGATACAGATTTAAAGCTTAAAGCTTATCATATCTACTAATAATATGATTTCTCATAATTCATTTACTTTATGAATTACCATTTAACATGTACCTAATAAAGTCAACATATAAATTTATTCTTCATAATTTCATTTATTTTCAAAAGTATTAAAGTCGGCCTTCGTCAAGTAAAAATAAATTAAAGTTTACTTGTACATATAACAACACACAACTATAAAAATACAATTTTAAATAACTTTATATTAATTAAATGTATAACTAATATTAATCGTGGACTTTCAGGTGTATTACTGTGAAATGTGCTGTATTCAAATGTGACACAAAAATTATGTACCTACAGTTAAACTGCAATAATTCCTTCGAGTTCATGTGTTTTATGTAATTTTATGTAGAAAAAGCAACACACCATGAAGACTGTTAGTAAATCGCATAATGATGATTCAAATTGTTCGTGTGAATCCTGCCTCTATAGAAGTGAATCCGATCGACCATTACTGAGAAATTTGCTTGCACGAGGCTCTCGAATTGACCGTCTATACTACGGCAAGTACATTCCACTTAGAGAAAAAAAGCTTTTAGATAGGCTAGTAAGAACACGGGCCGTGTATGATGACATAAGAGCACAATTACTCTCCGATAGTTCTGTTAGTCTTAGCACTAAAGCAAACTTTGTACCTAAGAAAAAAATATCTCTAAAAAAATTAGGGAGCACAGAAAAATCAGGAACGATTTTAAAAGCCGTAGGAATGGTAGATAAAGGTGAAATACTTAGCTCAAAAAACTTAAGTGATTGTTGCAGTTGTTGTAGCTGTTCTTCGAAAATTCATATACATAATAGATCTTTACGAAAGCAAAGGCATAAACATCCTTATCCTGGCGTACAGAGACGTGATAACCAAACGTATGAAAGGTATGGAGATGCTTATTCTCGGAAAAGGGGAGTACGATTTAAAGCCAAGCATATAAGATCCGACCCTTGTACATGTACATTTAAGTTTAGTGGATTGCTTAAGAATCATTCTAAAACAATGCTTAGAAAATTACGTACAAATGCACCATTACTAGTTGATTTACAAACAACAACAGATGAAGAAATAAGTAAAAAACGACACAGAACAGCAGACTTAGCACGCGCCTCATATCAAATCTTAAAGCAATCTCAGGAACGTGTGTCAGATGCAGTGGTAAAAGGGATTAAAAAATTAAATGAGTCGAAAACAAAAATTCGAGAAAGCTTAGAACTTACAGCGAAAAAGTCATTGGATAAACTAAAGCAGGGTAAGGATAAACTAAAATCTAACGGTAAATCAGAATTGGAAAGAAATAATAAAAACGCCATTTTAAATAAAAATGTCGCTAGAATATGTGAATGTCCTGAAATGGATTTAGTTTCTCAGATAAAAAAGGATTCTGTTATTAAATTCAAGGATGATCTAAAGAAAAAACGAATGCTGAAAGACTGGGAATGTGAACCTGAATGCATTGCAACCACATGTGATCCTGAGGAATGCTATATCAAACTTAAACAGAAACGTCCTCATACTAAAATAGGAACTTATAGAGAAAAGCGAGAGAAAAAAATAGGTGTGCCAATTAGCCAGTCCAACATCAAAATTCAAGCTGATAAAAAAAAGATTAAACCAATATTACGTGCACAACAAACAGAGGAAATAATATCACGAGTACAATTTCAAACGAACAATGTACAAGAAAATATCCGTAAAAACAAGAACCATCCACAGAAATGTGCATGCGAGAAGGAATCGAAAGAAAATGTTAAACCGCCAAAAAAATCACCACCCAAAATATCACCGCCTAAGAAAAAGTTAGTAAACACTGAAAAGGCCAAAGTTAACCAACCTATTAAAAATCAGATTGCATTGAAACGAGAAGCTAAACTGACGAATGTTCAATCTGCTAATGAAAGGAGTTCACGTCAGGCAGTTCGTATTGGATCCTCTTTTTCATTTAATATTGAATTTTACAAAAATCAGGCAGAACCAATTGAAAAAACATACAAACTACCTGCAAGACCGACACTCCCTGTAAAATATAGTAATTACGATAGTAAAAATCAGAGGTACTTATATAAACGTCATAACCGCAGTTCACAAAGTTTGACAACAGCAAAAAAGAAGAATAAACAAGTAGGCAGACACAATTTAAAAAGATGTTTTTGTACTTTAAAATTAAAGGGCAGAAAAAGCAGACCAAAAGTTAAAAAAAGAGTCACGAAGGAAACTATGAGTACAGATAGATCTGCTATGGCTTTAAATTCCTTTCTCGACTCTTGTAGGCCTTGTGATTATATAAAAAATGAATGTAATAGTTTAGAATGCAAAAAAACTGTATTAAAAAATATTCAAACGAATACGTACCAATCGAAAACGAATAAGAGACAACATTTACTTCCATATGAATGTGAACCTGGTATATGTACACCTGATTATTGCGATCCGCACCGTTGTATTAAACTAATTAATATAAGAAATGCAAAAGTTAAAAAACGTTCAGTTAAATGCTCATTTTGCCCTAGTACTCATTCACGAAAAACTAAATCCACCTCTAGTTTAACTTCAAGGTCTTATGCTCCTTTTAAAGCTAAATACGTACAATCTATTATAGCTTACACAAGGAAACCTAAAAATATAAGAGAATCTATAATGCAACGACCAAATTACCAACGACAATTAATTACTACTAGGACAGACAGTCGGCAAGCAGTTCGTATTGGTTCCACTTTTAGTTTCAACATAGAATTCTATAAAGATAAATCTCCTTATTCTACACCACCTAAGAATCTTAGTAGCTTAGCTATTAAACCTAAACTAAAAGAAGTGATACATCATAAAAAAAAATTAGAGACCCGAGGACATCAAAAAAGCTCAGGCTCTATTTACGTGGCAAAGCCAACACAAATGACTATAAAAGATAGAAAAGCTAATTTCGGGCTTGCTCTTAAACGGTGTTTTTGTACATTAAAATTGCAAGAAAAAAAACATACAAAAGTTAAAAAGCGAAAAATGCTTACTGTAGGGACTGAAACTACAAATAATTCATATGTTGCTGTTATTATGTCAAACAGAAGTACTAAAATGGATCACAAAGATGTAAGATTATTAGAACCTTTTGAATGTGAACCTTTTGTTTGTATACCAGGAGAATGTGAACCATACGTATGCTTAGAGAGAATCAAAAAACGTCATAAAAAATTAAAGAACGCTGGTATAGATACTAAAAAACCATTAATAGCAGTAGGGTCAAGTACAGTGTACTCGAAAATATCTTCAAAAACTATTCAAGCTCATTCTAAACCAAAATCAAAACATCAAAAGACTCTTACCAATCTAAAAAGAACAACAGGAAGCATTAGAAAGATGAAGTTAAAAGACAAAACTCCTAAAAATATCAAAGGTAAAAATTCAGTAAACATAGGTTCCTCATTTAGTTTTAATATTGAATTTAGTAAAAGTCGATCACCTATAACTTTTACACAGTCAGAAAAGTGGCCAGAAAGGAAGTCGAAAATGACTTCGAAAAACAATGCTATAGAGAAGAAGACTAAGATAGACGCACATATTGTCAATGAAAACACACAGGTTCAAAGATCTAAAAATCATCATAAGGCTACAATCATGAGTCCTTTGTTGAAAAGGTGTTTGTGCACATTGAACTTACAAAAAAAACGTAAACAGCATTCTTTCAAAAAAAGTTCAACTAATTCATTAAAACAGAATTTGCTACCTTCTAGAATTTATACGATAAATGCTATGACTGAAGAAATTCGAAATCGCAGTTATTTGAAAATATTCAATAATAGCAGATTAAATTCGAATCAACTATGCGTTGTGAAAAGCAACTATGAATGTAAAACAAAACAGTTTTCTCCGATTGTAAATGAATCAATATTTCTATCTAAAAATAGAGAATATATCAAAGAAAAAAATAAGCCTCTTAATAATTTTAGCCTACTCGGATTTACGGAGAATTGTTCAAAATTACGTACAGACATGAGTTTGTTCAAAACCAACTGCGAAATTATTTTAAATCCTATTATGAATGATAATCGAAATGAAATTTGTAATATATCAAACGGCAACATAAATGAATACAGAGAACAAAAAAAAATATCTTTACTGCACCCAAAACACAGGCAATCAAATCATGTATCACATTATTTTAAAAAATGTTTTAATATTATGAATTTACAAATAGAAAATAATTACAAACATTTTCCTACGAAACGGTCTAAAACCGTGGAAATCTTTAAAAATAACAAGACGATAAAATTACTGCCATATGAGTGTGAACCAGGAATATGTACTCCAGGAGAGTGTAATCCATATGTGTGTCAAAAGTTTATACTAAAAAGAAACATGAAAAATAAATCGACTAAGTCAGGTACGAAAAATATAACAGAATCAATTTCAAGCAGTACAAGAGTTCTAGGAAACAAATCAACACAAAATAATAAGAAAATATACATGAAAAAAGTTACATCAGACAACTATAAAGATTTGTCTGGCTATGGTAAAAATCGTGTCGTTCGAATTGGGTCAAGTTTTGATTTTAACGTAGAATTTTCTAAGAACAAGAAAATATCTAGAAATTATTATGAAGAAAATACATCAGTCACAAAACTTTCATCCAACGCGAAAGACGCAAGAAAATTAAAAAAACAAACATCAAAATCTTTAAAATCTATCGATCGAGGAACGACGAAAGACCATAAATGTCATGATATGCAATCACAATCACAACTGGTTAGTGTTACGCATAGGGCGTCCACCACTTTACCCATGTCAAAGCGTTGTTTTTGTACACTTAAATTGCACAAAAAGGGCAGGTTACATAAAGGAACAAATCTTCAGCAATTAAAGTTTCAAAATGATCAAAATATTATGAAAATACATACTAACAGCAGAGGTCAAAATACGAAAAAAACGAAGCCCTTAAAAACAACGTATAGATTAGAACCCTACGAATGCGAGCCAAATATTTGTGAACCAGGTAATTGTGATCCTTACCATTGCTTGGAGATAATGAAAAGTAAAATACCTTATAATAAAACTAAAGAATCTGGCACAGAAAGAACATTACATAAAAATAAATCCATACATACTCGTAGTATGACTACGAAAAATCAATCGAAAGCAACACAAAGAAAGCTTCCCTATAATATAATACCAATAGACCAAATTCAGCCGAAGCTTACTACAGATATTATTAAACTTAATTCTCATAGTCCATCGAAACAAGTTGTGCGCGTCGGATCAAGGTTTAGTTTTAACGTAGAATTTTTTAAAGATCGATTACCATATCATAATGAGCCAATTTTGTCAAACGAGAAAGACTTTGTCGAACATAAAAAATATTTAAAAGATATTAAACAAAAACATGTTGCCAGAAAACATTCTACAGCTTCCACTATACAATCCACAAAAAATAAAAAATCTCAAATGCAAAATATTCCAAAAATTGATTCTACAATGACTTCTAGTTTCGTAAAGCGTAGTTTTTGTACTGCAAAACTTTATCAAAATAAAGGGAAAAATATTGGTCTTAATCTCCGAAAAAATGCTAAACCTTCATTTTTCAAAAAATGTTTATGTTGGCTTAAACTAAAAAAATCTCTTAGTACCGTGGATAAAGATCATGAGGTAGTAAAAAACTTCATTTTGATAAGAAAACCATAACTCCAAATAGTATGCGTTCAGATATGTTAATCGGTCGCTATGAATGTGAACCAGGAATTTGCGTACCTGGGGAGTGTGATCCTTATGAATGCGATGCAATTCGTAGAAAAAGATTGAAAAAACATTCGCAATCATCAGCTACTCCATTTATTCATTCTCAATCTATTCATTCGTATGGTTCTACAAATATAACAAAAAATGTCAAGACGCAATCAATTGTAGGTAAAAATATAAAAAATGTGAAGAAACCAGTACTTATAAAAACTAACAACGATCGTGCTAAAAAGCAACTTGTGCGAATTGGATCAAATTTTAGCGTTAATATAGAATTCTACAAAAATAATATGCCGAAACATGAAGATCTTGCTTCACAGCCAGTATTGCGTAAACCTTGGCATAACAGGACTAAAGCAAAGGGATCGAAAATAAAAAAAAATATTTCAGTACATTCAAGACACTCCCAAGCGATGCTATCAAGGAAAGATGATCATTGTGTATCTATAAATAACATAAAACGTTGCTTTTGCACTTTACAATTTCATAATAAGTCCAAAGAAACAACAAGTGCTAAAATTACTAAGGCTAAAATTAAAAGTGAAATGACTGAAAATTCCAAATTATCTCCTATGACTTTATTTCCATATAAATGTGAACCAAATATTTGTATACTCAATAAATGCGACCCAAAGCAATGTGATAAAATAATACAAACTCGTAGAGAACGATATCAGTATAAAATACCAATGCAAGCTAAGCTATTGCCATATGAATGTGAGCCTCTAACATGCGTTCCTGGTCAATGTAATCCTATTGAATGCTTAGAACGGATAAAAAAAAGACAAAATGAATCAAAAAATTTTGGAACGACTATTGATGCTCATAATAGATATACCGCCAGTACAATGACAAAAGTCAATATTAAACCTAAAAATAAAAGTAATCAGTCTAAAGTGTCAAATCGTATGACTATACAAAAGATACCTACTGATAAGTTATATGCGCCAAACTTTCATAAACAAGCTGTAAAAATAGGATCAACATTTAGTTTTGACATAGAATTTTACAAAGATAACATATCAGGTAGTAAAAGTTATGGAAAAAGGAACAATAATGCTACACTTCAAACTGTAAGTAAATCACCAAAAATTAAAAAAAAGAGTCAACATACTTCTCTTCTTTTTATTAATTCTAAAATACAAGTTCCTCACGTTGAGCAAAAAGAAAAGAAACCTGTTGTACGACCTTTTTTGAAGAAATGTTTTTGTATCTTTAAACTTCATAAAATCCCAGTGGATAGGTTTAAATTGCCTTCTCAGGATCATAAGAAATCACCTGTAGAGACAAAAATACAACGTAAACCCACTAAATCAAACGCCACACCCTGCAGCCTAATTTCTCCATATGCATGTGATAAACGAATAAAAATAAAGAAAAAATCACGAAATATAAGTTCCCAAGTAGTAAGACAAAGTTCTGATAAATATACTGGAATAAAAGCCGAAAAAAACAAAAGGAAAAATCAGAAGAATTACATTAATAAATTAAATGATTTTTTGAATCAAGATGATATTGAAGACAGAAAAAGAATAGTTGAAGTACCTAGATTTGCTAACGTTTTCGATAAACATGCTGTTAAAATAGGTTCTAACTTCAGTTTTCACATAGAATTTTATAAGCACACAATACCCCAGCCGAGAAAAATTACGTTCAGTAATGACCACAAAAATTCAGATCATGTAAAAAAGAAAAGTACAAGTATTAAACCTTTTTACTTAAATAATCGTAGTTCTCAAGCGAAAATTGTTCGTTCGAAAGATAAAGGCTTGGAAACAGAAAATATTTTGAAGAGATGTTTTTGTACTTTAAAGTTACAAAATACAAATTCAAGACCTTTGAAGACAAATATAAAAAATTGGGGCGGAACACCTTACTATCCACAACTTGTTGAAGTTAGGAGAGTATCTATTCCACAAAAACCCAAAATAGTGTCACAGCAAACATATTATCCTGTAAAGGCAAAAGCAACACAATCTAAAAATAAATATAAAAATGAAAGAATTAGTACACAATGTTTATGTTCTTTTTGTCAACACTGTGGAGATAATAACCTTAAAATGCACACCATATATCCATATGTACCCAAAAAATTTAACAAAATTTCTAGTAAAACATTGATTTCTATGCAAAATATACCAATAAATCCACATCATAAATCCATAGTTCGTTGTAAGAGATTGACCAAGAAAAAAAGCCAAAGAATAATAAATTTAACAACAGGATCAAATCATGAATTTCCAGGAAAACCTGTTACATCTAAGATCAAAAAAATTTTATACCAATGTGTTAGCTTGTTGACACCAAATAAAGATGATGCTTCGTATAACTGGAAGTCAGTTCAACAATATAATTCCTATAACGAAAAAAGCAATATTGAACACGATAAAAAGTATCTGGACCCTATAAAAGTTCCTAAAAGTGATATTCATTCTAGAGAAAAGTATGCAAAGAAGAAAATATCAAAAAAATCCAAGAGTTTAAAATTAAACAGAAAAAATAACAATACTATCTGTCCAAAGAAGAGTCCGTATTTTCTCACTTCTAACAAAATTTTAGAACAAGTAGGCGATTATGATCCTAATTTAACTTTAAAATTAAAGAAAAAAAAATATCTGGAACAGATTCCTAAAAAAGTAAGTAAACATATACTCACAAATAACAGTCAAGGTGAACATGCTTATTACAAATGTAATTCTTCAGTTGAATGTAATAAAAAAAATCTTGACATTATAAAATTTCCTAAAAGTAGCATCCCCGCGACAGAAAAGTACGAAAAAACGAACAATATTCCTAAAAATACCATGTGTGAAAAAGAATGCCCGTATTTCCTCGTTCGTCAAGAAGGTGACTATGATCCCAAATCATCTTTAAAAGCAAAAAATAAAAGAAATCTACAACAGACCACTTTAAAACTGAGTAAACATATACCAAAGAAAAGAAATAAAGATGAAAAAAAACATGATGTTTATTGCAAATGTTCAAAAATTCATAAAAATACTTTATGTTCCCATTGTCAAAATAAAATGCAACAAGAAATTAATCAAAATAAATTATTATCACCCCAACTAAAGGTACATTTTTTAGATCCTTTAATAATATCTCAAACTAATGTTGGAGATAAAAATAAAAAGATTAAAACACAAATGAAATCAAATAAAAATAGACCTAAAAAAATAATTGAAAATCTGGATTGCTGTCGTTCCTGTGGTAGAATAATAAATGCAGAAGAGATTCAAAAAGCAGCAGGTGACTATTACGGAATTAATAAAAAAAGACGTGATATTCTGAAATTCAACAAAAACACCAAACCGTTATTCGAAATCCAATTGGATTCTGATGATTATGATATTTTAAATAAAGATGAAATTATTGGCAACGTTACTGACTTAGGCGATCACAGAATAAAAGATCAATCAAAATATAAAGCGCATACCAAATCTGAACAAAATAAATATGCTTCAATATTTAAGGTGAATCAAAAACGACAAAAACTTAATCCATGTATTTGCGGTAGCATGATATGTGCAAAAGAGAATAAAAAAATATCAAATAAATCTTCTATGTCGGGACAACGTAAAAAACGTCCCTGGAAGAAGTGCGTCTGTGGCAGTCCAGTTTGCGATCGGGAATCTGCTACTATGAAAACGATTTCACCAAAAAAAATGAGTTGCATTTGCCAAAAAGAGAAAATGAAAATAACAAAGGAAAAAGAAAAGCAAAAGTCTAAATTGCATGCCGTTAGAATAAAGCAACATCGTAAAGAAGATCAAATTCGCAGGCGCAAACGTCAAAAAGCTGACAAGGAAATGGCGAAGAGAATTAATAAAAACGCGAATGACGTAATATTATTAGCAGAATCTGCTATAGACATTGGTAAGTTAGGCATAACTGCTTGTATGGATATATTACGTGCATTGGCCAGAATAAGCTCTGACCCGAAACACGCTTACCGTAATCTTAAAGCTATGAAGGCAGATCCAAAATTAATTGGCCGTAATTTGAAAATCGCTTTCGACGATAGTGGGGTTGCGGGTACTGTGAAACGTATAAGGCTTAGATGCTTGGCCTTGAGAGGAGTGAAAAAAATTAAAACAACATTAGAAAGCTACCCATTAACAAATTACCTTCTACACATTGCAGCAAAAGATCCGAAAAAACGAATGTTTAAAAAGAAAAGGTCTCCTCGCCCCCGGGAACGTCTTGACTTTGGATGTAGTCTCTACATGGCATCGCTTAGAAAACGACCATTTTTATCAGTTTATCACAGAGTACCCTGGTTCTATCCACATTTCTTATCTCTTGTGAACGTGTATAAGCAGTTTAGAGATATATTGTTATTTTTATTAGCAGTTGTTGTATGGAGCCCGTGTATTTTATGCATGGAGGCATGTAGAGCTGTGATGTGTTGCTTTTTCTGCACTAGGTGATATATGTAAATTTATAATAAATTATTATTTTTCCAAATAATTATTTTATTAAACAACATATTTTTACTTTTATGTAAAAAAAACTTAACTAGATGATGGTCTTTTTTGTTAGTCCAATCTACTTGGCTAGAGACCACGGGATCGATTCCTGTAAATGATGATGTGTTAGCTTTGTCTTAGGTAAGCAGTATTATGTAAGAGAAGCAAATATAACGTCAGGTGGTATTTATTTATTTTAGTCTATCTCTTATGTATAACAGAAACGGGTATAAAGTTGAACATTCAGTAGTAGAAGTTTGTCTGCTCTTTATTTCAACAGTACTTGCAAGCGAATGGACAAAAAGTGGGACTTTTTGTTGTAAAAATCGATAAATTAAATGATGGCAATTTCAATATTCTATCGGTCCAGCTTATAAACGTATGAGCTACACGCTCGCGCTTCTATACATTCTTACTCCTTACTAATATTATAAATGTGAAAGTTTAGATGTTTGGATGGATATTTGTTACTCAATAGTCTGGAGTATTACATAGGCTACCCGGTAAAATGCACGATTCCCGTGGGATAAATTTGTTTTTCTTTTTCTAGAGGTGAACCTGAGCGTAGCGAGGGTGAGCCACTAGTTAGTTAATGGTTTTAAGCTAAATAGATTAGCACACTGGCGAAGCTGTAGGCATTTTCTAATTCGCCTATTATATATACAGAAGATTTTTTTTATTATTATTTTTACGTATATTCTACATTACTAAATTCAAATTGAACCTACCCTCTAATTGTTCTATGATCATAATAATGCACCCCAAGTTCAATGACCGAAGCCACAACTTTTTGGGGGTGGATTATACAAGAACATTTATTGCAGTGACCCTCGAAAGTCAGAGAACATAGTCTATTTCAGAGCCAAACGGGATGAATTGTTAAAAATCATTTCTAACAACTAGTTCTAACTGAAAATAATTAATTAAAAATTTTTACAAATCTTTAATCATATTTTTTATACTTAAAATATTTTATAAATTCAATCGCATTTCATTACAAACATATAGTTTAGTTGCTTTGTTCTTTAATGCCTTGGAGTTGCTTTAACAGGAGCAAAACATTGCATTTCTTTATTTGGTAGCACATAGCGTCAAAATAAACTAGCATAGAAAATCCTAGTAACCTTCTAAAAAATCATTTTTTATTTCATTACGAAATAAAAAATATTTTACTGAATACTCTCTGAAATTAGTATCCTTACAAATTACAATTCACACTTACAAATTAACTTTAACCTAACAATATTATGTAAATTTAATGACAATAAGTGCATTCAAGAAAATAGTTAGCTATCCAAAAATCAAGTTGGAACGAGACAGTGAGTTGGAAGTTCGAAAACAAAACAGAGGTATATCGACCAAACCCTCAAAAGTGAGAGGGAGCCGCCACCCTCTTTATGACTCAGAGGGGAGGACCCTTGCACGTACTACCCTTAGTACACCGTACCATACCGCATGCATTCACTATTGATCTGGGCTTTATGGACCCGTCTAATATTGTTTTTGACCTATTAGTCCTCTTTTTTAAGGGTTGCTTAAAATGCGCGCTGAATAATATACGAAAAGTGCAATTGAGTTATTTTTAAATTTTAAATTTATCTTTCTTTATATTAACTTAGTTTAATTACAATAATTATTATTATTATGTAATATGTACGTAGGTAGCATTATTTGAAAATCCCATTAAACAAATATAATGTCATTAGGTACTATATGTAATGTTAAGCATCTTTGAAATCTGAAAATTTATATGTTGTTAGGGTTGTAAATTAATTATATTTAGATAAATATGTTATTTTGTTCAAATAGTGAAATGTAATTTGAAATTTTGTATACAAATGAAATCTGCCGCAATACATTCTAGTTTGTATAATAAATCGTATGCCTGTTTATTTTATGTTTACGTATGTTTTAATTTTTTAATAACATTGAAAAAAAATATTATTATTAATATTATATAGACGTTTAAAATATAGTAACTTTATAATTATACGGTTTGGACATGAGATATTCAGTACACGTGGCGCCCACAGCAAATTCACAGATTTGTACGAATTAGCATATTGTCTCTATCCTCTAACAGTGCCCGTGTAACACTCTGGATATTCCATGTTTCACTTTATTGTACAAGTTTATTATATATTCATGCTTCTATATGCCTATAAACCTTAAGGAATTTTTTTTTTGTTAATCTATCGTGTCTCTGAGAACATTTATATTACGTTACATTATGGGACATGAGCAGTGTATTTGCGTACCAAAAAGAGAATTTTACGTTCAATTTGCGGTAAACTTTATTGGTGAGAAAGGAAATTATAGCTATGTATACGTGTTTTTCCATTTAAATACCTAACAAATTTCATCAAACCAGATAGATAGTTGCCAAAATACTTTTTATTGTAACGAGGTGGTAATTAATGTTTTATTTCTAACGATAAATTGTATGATATGTCAATAGATTTCTCATGATCATGATGATGATGATCATTGTACTTCTGCAGGTACTAGGTTATTACACATACATATTATTTGTGTAATATTTATATGTGAATTGTTTTTATTTTATCTATACATATAATAAAATTGTAACTAAGCCGAACCTGTACATTAAATATTTTTTGGAAAATCTTATTGAAATAAACATTATTATCGATACAGAGCCCGAATCTATAGTTTTTAGAATTTTTGTCTGTATGTCTGTCTGCTTTTTGTCTGTATACCGTATCACGGAAAATCTATAGTTTTTAGAAATTTTTGTCTGATATGTTATCCAGTTCAACATATAGGATACTTTTTACCGCGGGAAAATGTCTCATCTCTGAGAAAAAATACAAAAACTGCAATGTAAGAGTATACTAATATTAAAACCTAAGAATTTGGTTGTTCATCTGAACGCAGGCGAAATTAGTGTCTATATAATTCTTTAGTCTGAGTCAATAATGGTTTTATTACTTTGTACTCCATCGAGTGAACTGTCTGTACTACTATCAAAAACTCTACATTTTTATGCAAATTAATCATCTCTACTATCTGTTAAGGCTTAAAAGCTCCCCACAAAGTTCTTCAAAGTTTAACGTGATTCGTTCCAATAACTGACGACTTTACTTGCAAGGGGACTCAGAAATAGAGTACGTATACTTCCATCCAACCTTAAGTAGGAAAGCAAACGCTATCGACATCCTTAATTTATATGTATGATATTGGATTATGGGATTTACGATCTCTGTTATAATTTAAAAATACTACACTTCAGAATAATAGAGCCATATATTTGAAAGTGGAACCTTGAAAGCTAGTAGTTATGGTAATCATGCTCAATCAACGATGAGTCGAACTACAATAAAAACTACGCATACCTATAATTCGGTTGAGAATTTTTAAAATATAATTGAATTTCACAAAAACTTTTATTGATAAAATTCAGATATATCCCAATTAAATATTTTGAACCTTTTTATCTCGTTAAAACGCTGGAAATGGTTGCGGTCGAGATGCCATGTACCGACATGCGCGCAATTACGGTGTGACGTTAAGAATTTATACCTATGGCTTGTAACTCTATTAATATCGCTATGGAAATGACAATGCGAAACTCGGATTCTGATAAAAATGTTCCAATATACGTTTTGAACCATAAAATTCCAGTGTTATACCACATATACATATGTATATATAAAAACAGGTAAGCCTCCGACTGCATAATACTATGTTCCTTCGTTACCTTGTTCCCATCTTCTTAGTTTTTTTTTACTTTGTAATTATTGAAATACACTAAAATTATAATTTATAATTATAGATGATAAATAAAAAACTATACAAGTACATAATTTTGAAGTATAAACTTGTAAATACGATTGAAAGGAAGCACAAACAACGTTGTAATTTTACTTGCAACAGTCTAACAAAGTACAGTCTGTAGTATAATCCATGGTAAGTAGTAGCTGGATACTGAAACTCCATTACAGTGTCATGTCCATCATAGATAATATAAACATGAATTGTTTTGTATAGCAATAACGTCATGTCAGATGACTCTCGTCTAACACGTTCACCCCATCACTTTGCTTTATTTGAAAATCCCATTTGAATAATTTCTGCGGGGAATATTAATGTAGAAGGCTCAATCCTTATTAAAATATAGTCTGAAAGCTTGATTAGTGACACTTCGACGCGTTGCGACTAAACGAGTTTCGAGCTATAAAAAAGTAATCAAGAGTTTACTATTAGAGCGAGGTTTGAAATTTCAAGCGTACTTTTGTAATAAATAATGATTAAATATAGAGAATAGAAATTCATAATTACTACGAAATTATTATTAGTACGATAAAATATATGTATCATCAAAGTTTACTATTTAGGAAAATGCTTTTATCGATAAGATGCTTTTATCGATAACAGCTTCCATATTTGGATGGTTTTTCTAAACTAGCTTTCAGTGGCAGTTCCTATCCTGCTCTTATAATTAGTAGAGGAATAAATTATCTTCACACTAATTAATTAGTATATTACAGAATCAAAATTTACATTATATAAATATTTTAAAGTAAAATTTACGTTTTATTAATTTTATTACTTAAGGGATCAGCTGGTAAGAATTTCTAAACTCACATTTATATGCGAGCTGTAACATTCCAAATTTAATAATACCCTAAACGGCGGTGATGCGATAACTTTACAAAGTAGATGTGTTACTCACCAGATTTACTTACTTTGTACAAATTAGAGCCTTGGGATGAAAGTGAAGCAGATTATAAATATTTATCTAGGTATTAAAATTCATATTTTTGTACTCGGTTGGAAACCTTTTTTCTATTTGTTGTAAATCTATCTGTCACATGCTGGTTATTTTTTTTCGTATCTTACTTGATAGCTTTGTAAAGATAGAAAACTGGACAGCAGGATACAATTTTTATATCTTTTTGAAGCTTATAAGCGGCAATAGGTTACAGAGTCACAAA